AGAGAGAGAAAGAAAGAGAGAGAGACAGAGACAGAGACAGACAGATACAGACAGAGAGAGAGACACAGAGAGAGAGAGACAGAGATAGATGCATACATATGCATGGATGGATGGATGGATGGATGGATGGATGGATGGATGGACATACAGACAGATGATTCTTAGATAATAGATATCTGTGTGTGTTTATGTATATGTTTCAGATATAAAATACAAAAACATTTTTTCAAGCATCCATGTAGTATAGAATACTATTTTAGTTTTGATTTTCTTACTAGCTACCAAAGCTTTGTGAACTCAACTTTAGTCAATAGATTTATCTCTTTAATATTCTCATTCCTCAAATGCCTATCTTTCAGAAGCACAAGGCTGAAAGATGAAAATAAAGTGTAAATTGAAATCGCATTGTAAAGAAAAACCCTGCTCTGCAATTTCCAGAATGGTCATTTCTATCACAAACACCACAGCCAGAAGCCCAATTTCCATATCAGCACTTCATTATCAGAGACTTCGTTTTTGGAGACTTGGTGCAGAAGGACCTTTAAGAAGGTGGTAATTGCATTTTCATGGCTTTTGCTCTCTCTGTGACTATCACACTTATTTGTCTTTATCTGAAAAGGAGGCCTGTGAAATCAGAATGTGCCTGTTTTCTTTGTTTATTCATAGTGACCTCTGGAATTTGTGACACTGTGATTCACTTTAGTGCTAACTGAGAAGGAGCAGTCAATGCTCTAGGGTGTGATGGATCCTCCTGATCCTGCTTAGAGGATAGGTTTGAGTCTTTGAGCCAAGGTTTTCCTTTGAATCTGGAAAATCAGTTTCTAGAAAGCATGGAAAAACCCATGTATGTCATCAGTATGTGGAATCATTCTGTGTAGTCATTCTACAAGGCATGGACTGAAATTGTTTCCTGATGGTCTCGTATTCCTAGCTCTCTTACAGTTTCTTAAAAATCTCCTGTAAAACCCAGTCAGAGTCATTTGTTCTCCAGGAGTTCTCAGTGTATGATACAGAGGTACCATAGTCACTGCTGGCACAGGTGCTGCCTCCTAGTAACCACTAATGATGTAGGTATGATAGTCTCCCCTCATTCTTCTTCCCAGAAGCCCCAAGGAAAGTGTATTAGGTAGCTTTCTGTTCCTATGATAAACGCCGAAAGCAATGTGGGTGAGAAAAGTCTTATTTGGCTTACAGGTTACAGTACACCATTGAGGGTATCTAGGAAATGAACTAAAAGTAGAAACCTGGAAGCAGAAATTGATGCGGAGATTATAGATGGATTTTTAATGACTTGCTCCCCGAGGCTTTCTCCAACTTCTTTCTCATGCAGTCCAGAACCACCTTCCCAGGGTTGACACTGCCAACAGTGGGTTGGGCCCTCCCAAATCATTTATCAAGAAAATCTCTCACAGACTTGCCTAGAGGTCAATCCAATAGAGGCAATTTCTCAACTGAGGTTCCCTCTTCCCTGATGACCCTAGATTATGTCAAGTGGACAAAAACTTAGCCAAAACATCAATCAAAGGATTCCCACTCATCAGAGAGTTATCAGGCAGTTCAGACATATGTCTTTCTTCTTTCTTTTGCAAAGCAAGTGAGGATAGAATCGTAATAAGCCATCGAGATGAACCTTTCCTCTTACAGAAATATAATCCTATCATAGTAAACAATTTAGCAGAAGCAAAAGAGAGAAACAGCAACACATTAGTTTACACAGAAGACAAACAAGGATAGATTATACTTTAATTTGAATAAGAAAGGTCTCCATAAGCTTATATATTTGAATGTTTGACTCCCAACTAGTGATACTGTTTTAGAAGCATTAGGAGTAATGACCTTTGTTTGAGGAAGTGTCTCACTGAGTGTGGGCTTTGAGGTTTCAAAAGCCCAAACCATACCAGTCTCCCTCCCAAAGGACACCCCATTCTATCACAAGGACACTTGTTCAACTATGTTCATAGCTGCTTTATTCATAATAGCCAGAACTGGAAACAACCTAAATGTCCCTCAACCAAAGAATGGATTTTTTAAAAAGTAAAATACACAATAGAGCATTACTCAGGTATAATAATAATAATAACAACAACAACTGACATCATGAAATTTGCTGGCAAAAGAATGGAAAATTATCCTGAGAGAGGTAACCGAGACCCAGAAAGACAAGCATGATATAGACTCACTCATAATTGGAAAATTGCTGTAAAGGATAATCATGCTACAATCCACAGACTCAGAGAGACTTAGTAACAAGGAAGACTTAAAAAGATGGGGTGGGGGCAGATTTTTCTTGAAAGTCGAATTAGAATAGATTTGGAAGGTAGTCTGGAAATGGTTAGGATGGGAACAGGAGGGATTATGTGGGGCAATGGAAGGCAAGAATAATGAAAAGATGTCTAGAATTGGAGGGTATTTCAGGAGTGAGATTAAAAACATAGTGCAATGGAAATCCCAAGAAATCTATGAGGATGACACTAGTGAAGACACCTAATAATGGGTAACACAGAGCTTGAACTGGTCATCCTGTGTAACCAGGCAAGGCCTCAAGCAGAAGGATTGAGATGCCAACCCAGCCTCAAAACCTCTAACCTATAGTTTACCATGCCTACAGGAAATTCTGGGACTGGAGACTTGCATAATTGTGATTAGAGACTTCATCCAGCAGCTGATGGGAACAGGTGTAATGTCCCACAGCCAAATAATAGGTGGAGCCTGGGGAGTCCTGTGGAAGAGGGGAAGGAAGGATTGGAGAAGCTAGAGGGATCAAGGACACCACAGGAACATGGTCCAGAGAATCAACTGACCAGGACTCAAGTGGACTCAGGAAGATCAAGGAGCCTGTACTGGTCTCACCTAGGTTCTTTGCGTGTGTTATGGGTTGTGTAGCTCAGTGTTCTTGTGGATTTCCTAAGAGTAGGAGCAGGAGATGTCTCTAACTCTTAAGCCTACCTATGGGACCCTTTTCCTCCTACTAAGTTGCTTCCTCCAACCTTGATGTGGGTATATCTGCCTGGTCTTATTGTAGCTTATTTATTGCTGTATTTGGTTGATGTCCCTGGAAGACTACTATTTTCTGAGGGGAAATTAATACAGGCTGTCTCTGGGGAAAAGAGAAGTTGTGGGGAGAGACTGAAGGAAAGGAGGGAGGGGAAATTGCACTCAGGATGTAATAAATAGTAGTAGCACTAGTAGTAGTAATAATAATAATAATAATAATAAATAAAGTTTACTTGGTTGTATTGTCTCCTCACAACAATTTAACAGTAACCAAGCTTTCTAAAATAACAGTTAGCTTGTACTTTAAAAGGCTTAGACTCTGAAGTATAATATGAAATATAAAAAAGCTAGCACAAAAAAAGCCTTGCATTAGATAACTCTATTTCCATGTTAAACAAAGCTCAGAAGCATAGGCTTTATATGAGTTCTTTTCCATTTTAAGAAAACATTACATTTATTAAACACAAAAATTCAAATTCATAAACCATAAATTAGGAAAAAAAACTTCTGTTTGCTTCAGTCATTAGTTCTACCTTAGCAAAAGAACTTATTAGTAAGTTACGGTAGTAGTTGGTTTAAAAATTAATCACTAACAGGAATAAAAGAAACCATTAAAAGCCAGTTTGCGTTTAAAGATGGTATAAATAAAGATGAAGCGTCCCAAATTATAACTAAGTAACCAAATTTAGAAGATTAGATTTACAAAAATTTGATTTGCATGCAAGTTCCGTTCTACAAACTAAGACACAGAAATGGAATCCTGTGGTGGTTTTCCTTGTCCCTGAAGAGATATCTGGGTTACAGTTTCCAGGTAGCCATCTCAGAAAGGACACCGTTACAGCTTGCCATCAGGTGACATCTAAGAAGGGGTGCCTGACTCAATGAGAATATACTGCAATGAACTGTGGTAAATCTGGAAAACTTGTCATTCAAGATAGACACGTGAAGATTCAAATGCATGAGATACATAAATTCGGGGAAAACCCCTGTTTTCTTTAGTCGCTATTCCTACCTTAGCAAAAGATCTTATTAGTAAGTTGCAGGCGTAGTTGGCTTAAAAAATAATCACTGACAAAAATAACAGAAACTATTAAAAGCCAGTTCAGATTTAAAGATGGTATAAATAAAGATGAAGCATCCCAAATTATAACTAAGCAACTCAATTTAGAGAATTAGATTTACAAACCTTGATTTGCATGCATGTATATTTGTATACATTTATACGTACATATATATGTATACAAATATACATATATATATAAATATATATACATATATATATAAAATCCTCTCAAGTTTGTTTGAAGAATACATGAAATTATTTGACTATCATGATGGCAGAACATGCATAGTTTAGAAAATACAAACTGTATATGAGAGCACTTTCTCATTCAGTACAAGAAAGGGGATGTTTATTTATCACTGCATGAAAAATGGCTTAAAGACATAGCGACTTAAATCTTTATGTTTGCTACAGATTCTGTAAGTCAGAAAACAAATAATGCTCAACTGTGAGACATTTACTGTTCCGAGTGGATCAGCTGAGATGTCTTATATAATGAAAGGGAGACAGTAGCTGCTGGTGAAACACTCAAGACGCCTTTGCCTACATGCATGCTCCTTGGTAAGGACAGCTATACCCTGGTGCACACGACATATGAGTTTCATATGAAGTCTGAAACTCAAATGTGAACATTTCAAGTGGAAAATGTAGCTGCTTCAGAATTTTGAAATCTCAAACTCAGAAGATCCACAGGCTCATTTGTTTCATACACTATTGCCCAAAGCAAATCTAGCATTCAAGATTCAAGAATACAGAGAAGGGTGAGGCTGCTATAAAGTAGCATATAAGACAGGTTATATAGGGGAAGGCAACACACTATAAAGGAAAATATTTAGATTTCTTAGAGGAAAATATAGGTCATTAACTGAAACTCAGAACCAGTTATAGTTGATACCATGTACCATTGGATGCAGAAACAAGCTCATATAAAGTTTGCACTCACCTGACGGAACTGCTCCAAGTCGATTTTGTTACCCACTAGCACGAGGGGAATTTCATAGGTGTGACGGACCTGGAAAATAAGGTCCTTGAACTTGGCAGCCTCCTGGAATGACTGGCGGTCAGTGACAGAATAGCAGATGATGAAGCCTTCTCCCCCACGCATGTATTGCTCCCGCATGGCCGTGAACTCTGCCTGAAGGAGAGAAGAGTAATTGGGTAGGTTTTAGTTGAAGAGAATCAATATGTAATTTAATATATTCTTGTGAAATGTGAATATTTTAAACTTTTGAGCATATTGATATTTGATTATAGAAGGTTCAACTTAAGAGCTCCTGGGCAGATATGGTAAATAACAAATTATATACATAAGATTTGTTTTTATATTTTAATGACTCCACTTCAGAAAATTTGTGTACCACAAACATTATAAGCCTTTGGGTTCATGTTAGATATGGCACTACATTAATATTTAAACATTTTCTTACAGTCTGCCTTTTGAAACATTTTTTTTCTAGAAACCATTGAAGACATGTATGATCAAAGGAATCTGACTTTGCTTTTCAAATAAGAGCACATTTTTAAGAGATATCTGGACCAAGTCCTCCAAAGGACCTGGGGAAATGAACTACTTTTCTATTCAAAAATATGAACACAGAAGCTAGAGATATAGCTGAGACGGAGTGCCTGCCTAGCATGTGGGGGCCCTGGGTTTAATCCAAACAGAGAAAGAAAGGAGAGAGAGGTAGGGAGGACATACTAAAGTTAGACTCTCGATTGCCTCTCTGGGAAGGTTTTAGCATGGATAATACAGGTGCACCCATATATTACAGTATTCTTAGGTTTGTCTCAGAGAAGCAAATAACCAGAAGGACCTGGCTGCCTGAGACAGATTAATTTCTACACTCTGCTAGCTCTTTCTTTCTCACTTTCTGCAGAAGACAGGCTATAATCCAGATGGTCCCAATGCCCCATCTGACTACCCCTGCTGTATCAGCCTTTCATGCTGCTTCCTATCTGTATTACAATTTCCCAAAATTCTACCATTTAAACTGTAATCCATACAGTTTCTTTAAGTCAAAAATGTGCTTTTTATTTATTCTTAGTCAGAATCTACTGCTAAAATTACAAGAAGTGGCTAGACAGATGCAGTGGGTAATCTAAAATGTGGTCTTGATTGTGAAAATGCTTTTTCCTTCTGGGTCATCTCTCTGAACCACCAGTCATAGTCTTGCCACTTTACAAACAATGCTACAGTGTATGTTCTTAAATTCTATCTCTCACTAAAGTTCAATTATGCCTGAGAAGTAACCTTGCTCAAAGAGAACATTCCTCTTTTTTTTTTTTTGAGAAATTGTGATAATTTCACTGCCAAAGCTATTGTGTCAATACTGCTATTATACATTAAAGTGGTTGTTTCTTTCCCCATTCTGTAGGCTCCTGGTTTATCTATTGATGGTATACTTTGCTTTTCAGTTTCATGAGGACCCATTTACTAATTATCAGTATTAGTGCCTGTGCTATTAGGAAAAAATGGCATCATGAAAATTTTATGTAAATGGATGGAATTAGAAAAAATCATCCTGAGTTAGGCAACTCAGACTCAGACGATAAACATGATATGCACTCACTTGTAAGTAGATATTAGCTATTAAATAAAGGATAATCACGTTGCAATCCACAGATCCAGAGAGGCTAAGTATAAGGAGGGTTCTAGGTGCAGTATATGCATCTCTCTGGGAAGAGGAAATAGAATAGATTTTTGTGGGTGGGCTGGGGGCAAGTGAGGATACAAACAGAAGGGATCAGATCGGAGAGGCATGGGCAGAGAGAGAGAGAGAGAGAGAGAGAGAGAGAGAGAGAGAGAGAGAACTGGAAAGAGGTAGGAATGGGGAAATGATTTAAAATGATTTAAGAGGCAGCATGGGAGCCTAGTGCAGTGGAAACTTCCTGGAGCCCACGAGGGTGACCCTAGCAAGGTCTCCTAGTACTGAAGGATATGGAACCGAAAATCACCATCTTTTGTAACTATGCAAGGCTCCCAGAGGTGGTACTGGAACACAAACCTAGCCACAACCTTTGACCCACAACCGGTCCTGATGGCAAGATGCTGTTGGGGAATGGTGGCTCAGAGTTTATTGATATGGTCAACTTGAGGACGTAGACACAAGAGGGATCCACGTCCAACACTACCTGGATGATCAGAAAATACAGATTGGATGGCTAAGAGACCTAGGCTAGAACCAAACATGATTGACAAAAAATAAATAAATAATCAATGAAATCATCCCTAGTAATATATTCCTAAAATAGTGCCTCGCCCAATCATCTTGGAGGAGTTTTGTACACTCATAGCCAAACATTAGGCAGAGGTAGGGAAACTCCATAAAAGAGGGATATGACGGATTGTAGGAGCCAGAGGGGTCAAGGACATCAGGAAAACATGGCTTACAAATTCAACTAAGCAGGGATCATAGGGGCTCACAGAGACTGAAGCAGCAATCACAGAGCCTACATGAGTTTACATTAGGCCTTTTCCATACATGCTGCAGTTTTAATGGCTTGGGTTTTTTGCAGGATTTTTAACAGTGGGAGTGAGGGTATCTTTGGCTTTTTTGTGTACTTATGGGACCCTTTTCCTCCTACTGGGTTGCTTCATCCTGCCTTCATATAAGGTTTTATGCCTAGTCTTATGGCATCTTGTAATGCTATGTTTGGTTGATATCAATTGGAGGCATGCCTTTTTCAGAAAGAACACAAAGGTTTAATGTTTTGCTATGCTAAATACTGGCTTCTCCCAGAGACCCAGGTAATGTTATGTGACCTTCCCCCCACCACCACCAGTTATTTCTGATTGGTGTATAAAGACGCTGACAGCCATTAGCTGGGCAAAAGAGACATAGGTGGGGTTTAGGGTTCCAGGGCTTGGGGTTAGAGGCAAACCATGCGTTGGAAAAACAAAGGTGAAGAAAGAAGAAGGTGCCATGGAGTGAGAATCTTAAAATAATAGCCATTTAGATTATCTAATTGGAGTTAAGAGGAACCCAGACAAAACTTGACAAATTATATAATGGAATTATTGGCTTGGAAAGAGATATAACAGCATAGAGGATAGATGTCTGCCCAGTTCTTGTGATGATTAAGTCTTACTATACATATAAAAGTAGTATGTGTATTTTATCTGGGAACTAAATGGTCAAAGGCAGGGAAGAAATCCCAGATTGAGAGGAAATAGTTCTGCAACATTTAGGTGGAGTCCTTCTTCCCATCATCCCCTTCCCCTGTTTCTGTCAGGATGTACTGTATGAGAGAAGAGTAAAGAAAAAGTCATAGAAAAAGAAAATGTAATTAACATTTTCAAAACGAGACCCTCACTTTTCATCCTCTTCAATGCTACTTAAAACTAATTTGTTTACTTTGAGATAAAAAGAACCATGTCTATTTGATCTGCTTATTATTTTGACTCATGTTGTTGATCTCCTGTGTTGATTATTCATTCATGCATCTGCTCTACTTACGGATTTAATTTATTGAATGAAGGAATTTGTAGGGTTTTTGAAAATGTGTTTCTTGTTTTCCCAGCTGATAATTATTTTAATTTGTACTAGACATGTGTCTTTCTATGACATATTCTATGTTTAAGATAAAGCAATACATTTGATTACTCCAGCGATGACTATAGCATAAAAATCTAATAAATTTGTAAATGGAAGATAGGCATAGCATTAAAAAGGAAAATTCACAGGCAACAATATTTAGAGAATGAATGAAAGTCTAGAAGAGTGTAATAATATGATTAAAATTATATATAATCTATATTAAAGAAAAAAGGAAGATATTGTGACAGGGCACCTATAATTCCAGTATTAGACACTGAAATCAAACAGTTAAAATTTCAAGCTCAGTCTGGGCTACATGGAAGAACTCTTCAAAAATTAAAACAACAACAACAAAAAGGATATCAGCTTTTGTACATGACTGTGTTCATGTTCAATTTTTGTCTTTATAGCCTGGAGGCATGATAAGGGAGTTACAATGCATGTCACTCAGGCCTGTGACTCACTTAGATTGTCATCTTTCAATATATAATATCTCAACTTCTCAATTTCCTCATTTGTGAAAAAAAGATTAGAAGAATCTTTTGCCCTATATGGAAGAAGAAAGAATCAACTGAGAGAATAAACATAAAAATGCTTTGATGATTTTTTTTAAATATCATATAGTTCAGTCCTATTATTACCTTCATTACAGATTCAACAAAACAGACACTCTCGCTGGGAGAATAAGCACAAGACCCCTATGAGCAGTACTGAGTATGGAAGTTGGAAGTTTTCAACCACACTTATCAGAAAAGTCACAGGATTCAAGTTGGGAACCTTTCCCTGTGACTCAGATACAATGAAATGCTCACAGTGATGGGGGTGGCTTTGAATAGCTATGCTTCTTTCTGTTACTCTCATGGAATCTGGGTAAATGCTTGTCTTAGACATCCTCAGAGACTGATAGAACAGGAATATTGAGCATAAGCTCTGTAGCTATGTGGTATCTTAGTAGCATGATACAGAAATCTCTTCACAGGGGACAAGTTTGTGTTTAACATATCATATCTGTTCTCATTAGCCCATGAATCAAAGATTCTGAAACATTCTGTTGTCTGCACTTTATCCATTAATGTCAATACTTCCTGCTGTAAATGAAACTTGTTGGTTAATTATTCAGGAATATTACTAGTTTCAATTTGCTACCCATAAGCATCAAAGTACTTATGAAAACAGACTCTAAAGAAAATATTATCTATAAAAACTTTTTTGGCATCTTCAACACTACTTTGGGTAAATATTACAGTTTGATTCCTTTTCTTTGACATCTCCCCTTGAACTAATAGTGTAGGAATTCTATGAATTCTGAAACAAATAAATAATCTCTGATAAATATCATCATGGTTATTTGGATGAAATGTCCCTAATAATCACAGATATTTGAATACTTGGTCCCCAACTGGTAGTTATTTGAGGAAGATAAGGAGGTGTGGCCATGCTGGTAGGAGTATGGCATTGGGGGCCAGCACTGAGGTTTCAAAAGATTTGCTCCATTTGGGCCTAGTGTTCTCTATACCCTGTTTTTGTGTAAAGATGAGAGTTTTCAGCTGCTATTCCAGCACCACTCTTGCCTGCCTGCTGCCATACTCCCCTACCC